AATAGTTTAGCCGGTTTCATTTTAAGTTTTATGCTATTATCACACATTGTGATAATGAAAGATATTTCAATACAGGTAAAATGTTGTAAGAAACTGGACGTAAATTTACTGTCGATGATCTAGCGATTAAAGCACTTTCTATAAATTTTTGTTATATTAAATTGCTTTCTCTTTTTATTAAAACAGCATTAATATGGCCAGACTCATTAAGGTAAGTAACTAATGAATTGGGTGTGCTGTTTTGCAAAATATTCCTTTTGTGTTCTATAATCTTTTATTTAAATTTCTTGAAGTTTCTCCTATGTATTCCTTCTGGCAATTATTACAGGTAATAGAATAAATTCTTCCTTCACACTTTAGCTTATTATTATTTTGTATTAAAATTGTTCTTGATATACAAAAAATTATATATTGTTCTCCCTATATATATATATATATATATATATATATATATATATATATATATAAAAATATATATGTGTGTGTGTAAAAAATATTTTTGATATAACATTTTAAAAAAAAAAATATATTGATTTACATTAAATATGCATGTTAATGTATTATTTTTAAGTTCTTTGACAAACGTCTATCTCTTCCAAATTTTTCCATATTAAGTCGCGATAAAAGACAAATAAAAAAAACTCAGCCATATAGAGGATTTTAACCTGGGAAAATCGATAACATAAAATTAATAATAATAATAACGTCCTCTGTCATTAATGGAAAATTTCTTTTTTAACCTCAAATAAAATCTATAGGAAGGGTTAGTCTCTTGTCGAAATTCCAGAGACCAAAGTCCCGTAACAGCCCAGGCAGTTCCTATTCCTCACCAGCCGGTCTGCGTTCCGTTCTATACATGTGTCTGCCTCAGTGGAAAACAAAATCACGCATGTGTGAATAAGAAAAGTACAATTTCAGGATCAAGTAAGTGTGAAGTGAATTTAATTAAATTTTGGAAATTTTAAATAAAGTTCGATTTTTAAAGAAATGCCAATATGTAAATTATATTTAATTTAAAAAGAAGGTTTTTTTTTTTGGTTTTTTTTGTTAAAAAAAAATTAATAAATTATGAAAACTAGTCATGATACTAAATCTAATTTAGTGAGCTAAAGAAAGGACCAAAAACTGATAAAGATACAAAAGCGTGTTCAGACTATTCGTTACTAACGACTATAGATTCACCGGTATAAATTGAGATTTTGAAATTCTTATACAGAATATTACCAATAAATAAAAATAGCCGTGTGAGATAATTAGATTGTGAGCCCCCTTTTCGTTAGATGTTAAAAAAAAAAAAAAGGTAGAAGACATTTAATTATTTGTACTTACACTAAGTTCCAGTGGTTGGTCCATAGCAGAAGTCTATCGGATCTGGTATTTCTTGTTTAAAAATTAAACCCAAGGTGTTATCTTCGTCCACGTCGGCAGATTACTTGAATTCTTATTTCTTCATGAAGCGAAACAGTTTGAAAATTTAAAGGCAATGACCATATATAGATTTTCGGAAAATATGTGCAGCAAGGCGTGGAAGTGTGGAAGTGTGGAAGAGAGGAAGAAGACGACGGAGAAATCTGTCGCGAATCGGAAGAAAGATGGAGAAGAGGAGAGAGAGAAGTTAAAACGATTGAAAGTGAGGAGTAGTGGCAGTGTCGAGCCAGTGTAGTTGCAGATGCAGCCATAATAGTCAGGAATAGTCCAGGAAGCAGCAGGAGCAGCGAAAGGGAAAAACAGAAAATGGCAGCAGTCGGAGTTGTTTTTAACCGTGATGAGGCATTGGCTTTAAAAGATGGGGAAGATGTTGATGTTAATAATGATGGTGACAGCAGTGCTAATGGGGAAAGAAGTGATGGTCAAAAATACAATGATTGTAAGACGCTATGTTATTAGTAGCAAGTTGAAAAAGACAGGAATTGGAAAAAGAAAAAATTTGTAAAAGTAGAGAAATGTTTACAAGAAAAAATATTAACAAGAAAAAAAAGGAAGGAATGAAGAAAGAAAGAAGAGTAGAAGGAAGTAAGCAGGAGAGAAGTGACGAAAAAAGATAGACAGAAGAAAGAAAGAAAGAAAAAGAAAAGGAGAGAAGAGGGAAAACAAAGAAAAAGTAGATATAAAAGGAGAAGAGACAGAAGAAGGAAAAAGAGAAGGAAGATGAAGGAAAAAGAGAGCAAAAGGAAGAACGAGAAGAAAAATAAGATGAAGCAAGCGGAAGAGAAGAAAGAAGAAAATAAGAAAAGGAAGGAAGAGAAGGAGTGACGAAAGAAGGAAAGAAAAACGAGATCAGAAGGAAGAAGCAAAAGAAAGAAAAAGTACAGAAAGAAGGGAAAGAGAAAAAAAGAGAAGGAAGAAGATGGAAAAAGAGAAGATTCAGAAGGAGAGAAGAGAGACGAAAGGAGGAGAGACGAAGAAAGCAAGAGAGAAGCAAGAAAGAGAGGAGAAAGAAAAAGAGAGCAAAAATGAAGGAGAAGAGAAAAACGAAAAAAAGGGGAAGAAAGAATGAGAAGAAATAAGAAAGAGAGATGAAGCGAGAAGGAAGAAAAGGAGAGAAGAAAGAAGTACACGGAGGAGAGAAGAGAGACGAAAGAGAGAGAAAAAGGGGAGGCTGAAAGAAGTAAATGGAAAGAAAGGAAGGAGAGCATGGTGAAGAAGGAAAAAAAGGGAAAAAGAGTAAAAAGAAGGAGAGACGAAAGAAGGAGGGGGTGAAGACAGACGAAAGAAGGAGGAAATAAGAAAGAAACGAAGAAGAATGTAGCAGGAGAAAAGAAGAAGAAGAAAAGATAAGAGAGACGAAAGAAAGACGAAGCAAGCAGGAGAGAAAGAAAGGAGGAAAAAAAGAGCAAAAAAACAGGAGAGACGAAAGAAGGGGACATGGAGAAGGAGAGAAGAGATGCGCAAGAAGGAGGAGAAAGAAGTTGACATGGAGAAGAAGAGACGAAAGAAGGAAAGATGAAGCGAGAAGGAAAGAAAGGAGAGCAGAAAGAAGAAGAAGATAAAGAAGAAGAGAATGAAGAAAGAATAAAAGCAGAATTGAGGAGGACAATGCGAGCAAATAGGAGGAGAGGAAAAAAAGAGGACATTTCAAGATTTGTGGCTTTGTCTTATTCTAAGACATTTCAAAATAAGCCTCTATGGCTATTTTTACATAGTTACACCTTACACTTGCAAATTTGATCCCGATGAATAGGGCCCACCTCAAACCTGTGGCCTTTTGCCAGACTTAGCCAACTGTACAAAGAAAGAAATCGACAGAAAGATAAAGAGAAAATAAACGGAGATTTGGAAATTTCTAATAAAAATAAGTTCACGATTTTATCTCTGTGCTTAGTGCCACATGGTGCGGGTGCTGAGATAGGAAAAGTGTTCAAATTTAAGCGGAAAGATGTCAAATGCTGAATTTACCCAGACAGACACCCCCTGCCACCCCAACTAAAATTCATACTGACCTGTCTTGAACAAATGTAGAACTCCTATTTCAATAAATCTACAAGAATGTACCTGGGGTATGGGTCTCCACAACTTACCCGAGTTCCGTTTCAGTCAATACACTTATTTAAAAAAACAAAAAAAACAATGGATGTTACCAAATTGGAAAGAAGAAAATTGGGGTGGATTGAAGTTAGAGAAAAAGAATTCCTGATGACTTAATGAAGGGAATACATGCATTATTTACATTATTCATATCATTTCGGCCTCTATATCTCTGAAATGAGGTATTATGATTACTTGCATTATTTACATTATTCATATCATTTCGGCCTCTATATCTCTGAAATGAGGTATTATGATTACTTGCATTATTTACATTATTCATATCATTTCGGCCTCTATATCTCTGAAATGAGGTATTATGATTACTTGCATTATTTATATTATTCCGACTGTTATACTCATTTTCATTGTTCTAGTTCCATGTTGTGAATATAGCAATCTACCCCGGTGGAGGAAATAAAGGGTTCGGTCCGAAATTCCAATCCCATGAAGAAGTACGGAGCGTACAACGGCTGAAACGTTGTGAATATAGCAATGAAGATGAGGCTAACAGTCTGAATAATGTAAATAATGCAAGTAATCATAATACCTCATCTAAGAGATATAGACAGACAAAGGTAATTGAGTGCGTATATTTTAATAAGTTGAGCTCTATCCGGCCTTGCTCTCGTACAGGCACAGAGTAACAGAGCAACTGTGAAAGGTCAAACTCATAATAGCAAGCGTCCAGAGATTATTTTATTAATCCCTACTCTACAATGTACAGCCCTTTCCGAAAACCTGGCAGATCTTCAGATAAGCTACATTCCTTAGTACCTCCAGTTCAGACATTTCAAACCTAGAACTCCACCTGCCACATACATAGAGTTTTGTAATATCAACGAATACTCGTTGTAGTAGAGACTTTGTAATCGCCAGTACAATTATAGTAACGCGTTTAAACAATACGCCTTCGAGTAACAATCGCACTAATAGTACTTGCTCGCTAATACTCGCTCGATTAGTAACCACCGAATAATAATCCGAAACTGCTCTCTATCAATTAACTGAGAGACCCCCTTTCTATCTGATGGCTGATGCTAACCTCCAGGAGATTGACTCGTTACGCCTTTTCGGGTTAACATTTTGTATGAAGTGAAAAGATTATATTGAATTAATTGCGAGGTCTGCTGCTAGGAAAGATGATTCACTATATCGTGCTAGACAATTTTTCTCGTCAAAATGTACATGTATAAATATTTCTGTCACATCAGGTCGGGTGCTCCTCTTATACATTTAGAGATACTTGATAAAACCCAAAGAATCTGTAATGTTATTAGTCCTGATCTGGCATCTCGCTTTTAATCACTCTCCAACCGCCGTAATATAGTTTCCCTGTGCCTTTTCTATAACTACTTTCATGGTAATTGTTCTGATGAACTTTCCTCAATGGAACCGAGACTTTATGAATTTAAGCGCAGTACTAGATTGGCGGAAAGGTCTCATCATTTTACAGTTGAAACGACTAGATAGAACCGTAAGTTCTATGCTAACAGTTTCTTCTATTGCACTCTTGGTTGAAGAAATATTTTGATTTTCAAAAATTTAAATGCACTTTCAATTACTATCTTCTGTTCGATCTCCTTAATCTCTTTTTTCATATACTCTCTAACATTCAGTAAATGCCATGCGTCTGAATGGCTTTATTACTGTTATATACCGTACCTATGAACATCAATCCTCATAAATACGTTGGACACTATTGTAAGCGGGGGTTAATATGCTGTCTAAGTAGGTTACCACTACCAGTGGTTTACCTACTTCATGCTGCTGGCGAGTATTGTATTTTGTTGATGTTATAAAGATTACCATTTCATTTCCAACCTCCGTTTTGGTTATTCATCATTCAGTAACCCATTCTATCTGAAAATAATTTACACACACCCACACACATATATGTATGTAAAAAATCCGTGGGTAAGTAATCCAAGTAGATCCTATTAATATAAAATATTAAAACTGAACCACAAAAGAGAGGTCAAAATAATTTTTATTATAGAGCATAGAACTGAATAACAGTTAATGAAACCAAAACAAATTACCCCATACAGACGGCCATTTCGTACTCGGGGGGAAAAAAAAAATTCCCTGGACTTGTCAATGCAAAAACATTTGTTAAGACGTTTTCTTTTTAAAAAAAAACCCAAAAAACAAATGTTTTTGGCATTGACAAGACCAGGGAATTTATTTTTAATCGAGGACGAAATGAATTATATTTGAAAAATTTGTTTTAGTTTCATTGAAAACAAAATATATATATATATATTTTTTTTTTTTTTTCACTCCAAGCAAGGCGGGAAGCCACTAGGACGCAAGGGGTTACAGAAAATTTGGAGCAAGATCAGATAGGGAGTGATAGAAGAAAGGATGAGGAGAAGGGTAGTGGATAGATCAAGGCAACTGGAGATGTCGATTGACATTACATTTGAATAGCTGGAGATTATAGCTCTCAGGGAAACTGGAATAGGGAAGGGAGTTCCACAGGCGAGAGGTGCGAGACATGAAGCTATTGGAGTAGAAAGACGGCTATATTTAGGAGTTTCGACAGTGAAAGGGTGAGAGCGGGATGCCAGCCTCGTAAGGCGCTTGAACTCATGAAGTCTGCGAACCAGCGAATGCAGCTCCTTGGAGCAATTGCCATGAAAGTATTTGTAAAACAGACAGGGAGAGGCGACGACGCGTCTGTGAGAAAGTGACTGTCGACGAGAAGCCAGATGTATATACATGTATACGTATATATATGTATACGTGTACATACGTATGTATACATATACGTATATATATGTATACGTACGAAAATTTCTGTCATTCACGCCGGTAAATGTTATTAATACTGTTTATTATAAAACAGAGCATTTACTTAAATATTTGTATCCATAAAAGAATGTATGAACATAAAAATGTCTTTATATATATATATATATATATATATATATATATATATATAAGAGAAAGAGAGTGGAAAACGATATATATATTTTTTATATACCAAGAACGATTTTACGTGGGAAAAGTTTTCGTATGTCGCGTTTCTTTCCTTAGGACTTCATCGGATTAAATTGATGTTTACGTTGATGCGACTACGCATGCGCACGAATGAGACGCTGAGAATTTTAAATTAAAGAACAAGAAACATTTAAATGTAAAATACTCAGCGTAAACACCAATTTTTTAATCTAATGAAGTCCTAAAGGATGAAATGTGTCACACTTTTCCCGTTTTGTCATACATTTTTACCTTAAAAATATATATAAAAAAAAGTATAAATATCAAACTGAACACTGAGATCAACCCCGAGCGTCAACGCGATTTTCAGGGTTGAAGCATGAAAAGGTCGGTCTGTAACCACTTGGTGTTGATCTCAGTGTCCACTTTTATATTCATATACTCCCCCTATCCCTGATATTGAGCATTTTACCCAGAAACATAAGTTAAAACTATATTTTTTATCAAACACACACACACACATATATATATATAATGAATAAGGAATCCTTAAAAATCCATCAGCTGGTTATAATTTATTTTGTGGATTATTGCCCAACATTTCAGATAAAATTTGATGGATTTTTAAGGATTCCTTATTCCTTATTATTATCTTGCTCTGTTCTTACATTGAGCTCTCTTTGGATTTATAACCTCCTTGGAATTATCCTAATAATCATCATTATATATATATATATATATATATATATATATATATATATAACCTTTTATGCTATATTAATTATAATTTATAAACTTTCTTCTACTTAGGATTTTCCTCTAATTCTCTTTCCGTTAATCTCTTACGTCCTAGTTACATCATATATATTTTAAAATTATTTTTAAATCTATTTTAAATTTATTTTCTGATATTATTTAATATACCTTCTCACCTTTAAGATATCTTTACCAAATATATGGATTATTGTCTATCTGTCTTAAACATTGAAAAGTGTGAAGTATCTTAAACAAGTTAAATTTTATTGACCCAAGGCTTATAATACCACTTCTTAATGTTAACTGCTACTTCCTGCAGAGGGGGAGAATGAACTCCATTCCAGATCGGGTTTGAAAAGACAGATAACCACTTTCATTGCCGAAATAGTCTATTCCCCAGATAGGTAAATCCAATTTTTGATTTACAAATTGAGATCCAAGTGAAATGCACATTTCATTGAATACGACAGACAAGGTGCTTTTATTTAGTTTTCTTATACAATTTCTTGTGTGATCTAATAATTTTTTTCTTTTTGGATGATAAATTATATAAAAACTGTCCGAATGTTCTTTTTATCCGAGGGCTTTCGGCTATACATTTAGTCATTTTTTCAAGGATTAAATATTTTAATAAGAAAAAAAAAAAAAAATCAACACTTAATAATATTAACTTTAAACATGGACACAATATCTTGACCGTGTTTTGAAAAATAAAAACATTTTATAAAACATACATACAACAAACTATTTCTTATTTAACAGTTAAAATGGCTAAATTTTAGGCCTGATCTGGCTCTTGTAAAGGTAGAGGATAGCACAATGTCAGAGTCACTCTTTACTTACTGAACAGTACAGAGAACTGAGCATTTATCCTGCATATTTAGCAATGGATTGTATATATGGGAGTTCGTACTTGAGGTCTGGGGTGGGTTTTAAGGTCCAGTAGTCTCTCATGGTTGCGGATCTTCTCTATGGGTTCATCTATCCATTGTGACAAGGTATTGATGATGATGATGAAGGAATGTAACTAGTTCAGTTTTAGAGGCACTGAATATAATCAGCTTGTTTAGAGCTAAGATCAATGAAGCTCAGCTGCCGATCTTTGGTCATCACAAGTTTTGGAGGTGCATCCATATATTATTGTTATCAGTGGCACATATATTCATAAATGATCTGAGTTTATCTTAATCAGACCACTTATTCCAAAGTAAAATAGGGTTGGTCTGAGATTGGATGTTACAGTCCCAGAGGACTGACTATTAACAAAAAACCTGCAGGGACATACCTGTGAGAAGGACTTCATAACTGAGAAGACTTTTCCAGTAATTCCATATTGGGAAGCATGATAAAATTTTTTGTGCCACATTTTGTTAAAGACCTTCAAAATGTCTAATGCTATGGTCCTTGAGGTGTATTTGTTGTCTAGAGCCTCACTGATTCTGTGAGTAATGGTAGTTAGAACATCAGCAGTGGATTGGGCCAAGTGAAACCCGTATTGCTTAAGGTTCAATAGTCACTCAAGACACAGAGGTTCCCCGAGGGGACATCCATTCATTGTGACTGGTGGTAGTTTGGGGTTCAATTTGCAATGGTAGAATGTAACTAGGTTGGTTTTCAAGTCATTGAATGTAACCAGCCTGACCTGCTGCAATCACGCACTGAGATGTTAGAGCTTGATCAGATGAGAGATCAGCTGCCAATCGACGGTCATCTAGAATTTTGGAAGGGCAGCGATATACTGTTGTATCATCAGCATAGATATTCACAAATGAATAGGCAGATCACTTATGTAAAGTAAAAAGAGGGTTGGTCCAAGAAGAGACTCCTGTGGAACACCTGTGTTGATTGCTAGGGCCCCAGAGGACTGGCCATTAACAACTACCCTCAGGGACCTACCTGTTAGAAAGGACTTTATTATTGAGAAGACTTTCATCCTGTGTTTAATGTTCATTGAGACCTGTGTTGTGCGTTTCTATCTGAGCGATCACATCACTTCTTTTTTAACCTTGTGTTCACATCTGTATGTTGCCAGTTCATAACACTGAGGAGCTATCTTTTAATGTTACTGAGCATCAGTCTAGTTGTGTATCATCACTTGCCCAGACACAATTCCCAATCACAGGTTCTTCCTTCTGGACGTCAACTCAGTATGCAATGAGGGCTGCTTTACTACAGGTTATTGATAGAAAACTGATCTCTATGGGATTCTTTTTAAAAATTTTATTCAAGTCCAAAGTAAATATTTTGCATATGACAGCTTATTTAGCTGGAATTCAATTTCACCACCTTATTAATGACAGACAACCTGTCATTTTATTAATCTTACCAGAGTTATTTACATTTTCACCAGGGGAAGTGTTCTTTGTCCTTTTGTAGCATGGATCTGCCACAGCTACACCCAGCACTCGAGTATAGACAAAAAATTTGATCTTCACTGCTCTCTTACCAAGGAACACAACGTGGGGCAGAAGCAGATGGAGGAATGAAGAGGCAATTAGATAATCATCAGTTGACTGACAGCAATACAAACCAGTGTGGGAAGGACCCGGGATCGAGCCAGGCCGGCTGTGTTATATCTGTTTGGTGTTATGAACACTTCAACTTATGAACACATGATTCATGGATAATCGGAGCGCTATCCAGTATCAGATAAGTGCCTCTTGTTGATCTTGCGTCTGCTTTCTTACATTCTCTCTCTATTCAAATGTTTTGTTATATAAAATTGTTTTTAAAATTTTATTCTGTGTTTGTTAACACCTGTGTTGTGCGTTTTTATCTGAGTGATCCCATCTCTTCTTTTTTTTTTGAACCTGGTGTTCACATCCGTATGTTACCAGTTCGTAACATACACTACTAAATGTTTAAACTGGTTTGAAACTAACACCAAGTGCTAGTCAATTACATTTCTTGAAAATGTATATATAAATCAACAGAAATTTTGCAAAGACGTATAACTTTAACTAAATTTCGCCCAATAAAAGGCTCGAGAGCCACTCAAGGTTACAGTTAGAATGGTAATGATGTGTGATACAAGCATGGAAGAAAAGGAATGTGGAAAACTTAGAGGATAACAGAAGATAGATAACCATTGACCCCTGACTTGGAGAGGTCAAGTTTAAAGAAGGAAATCAGACAGATCTTCTGTTACAATCAGACATTTCGTCCAACAAAGATAAGAACATTATCAGGAAGATTAAGAAAATAGACACACCTTGAAAACATGTTCACTACTGCTACGGACAACTTACATAGCACAATGGTTAGCAAGCTGGACTCCGATAACAATTTACCAGTGTAGGGAGTTTAAATCTCGCTAAGTGAATCTTAGATTTAATAACTGTGTGAAGAAAGAGTCCTTACATCATGTAGTGTAGAAGGCCACAGGTTCACTCTGCTAGAGCCACAGCCTCAATACACTAGTGTTGTTACAGTGGAAAGTAGCAAGTAGATTTGACATGAATTGGAGTTGCCAGACCCAATGCCCAATCAGTTTGGAATTCAGTTATTATTCAACTAGATAGCCAATCAAAGCTAGAGAGCTTAGCCTACATTATTTAACCCATAGTGGGAAGCACAAGAGAAACATCTTTCCCAGGAGTAAATGTGAAAAAGTGAACAAAAACTTTTTAGCTGGAATTTGAACACAGAATGCCAGTCCCATTTTCTGAATTAATAATGATTACAGTATGAACACATCCAGGTGGAGTAATGGATACCAGCTCGGATTGAGGAATCGGAGAGCCGAGTTCAAATTCCAGTTGAATCCATTACATTCCCTTATGTGCTAATACCCTTGGGAAAGGTAAGAATCCTCTTCTTCTCCCCCTCCCAGGAGTAGGTAAATGACAGGACAGACTAGGTTCTATAGCTTTGATTCTATACTGCAGAAAGAAATGGCAACCTACTGCAAGAAAAAATCTGCCTCGTCAGTCATGTATCAAAAGATACATGATTGCCTAAGCATTTATCATTCATGGCACATAACTGACTGACGAACACATTCAGAATAGCTGTGTACTCTTTAAGAAGTCCGAACTAGTAGTATTTCTTTCTTTTTAATTTTAGTTACATATCTCTTTATGGGAATTATGCAGTCCACAAAAATAAACAACAATGTCCAATCATTGTTACTTATGAATAAATGAATCAAAAATGAATAATGGCTGACAAGGCTTTATCAAACAAAAATTCCAAATAATATTACTAATAATGGAAATAAAGCAATTGAAATGAAAATGAATGAAATTCTAGTCAAAAATGAATAATTCTTGACAATCAAAACAGAAATATTACATCTCGAACCTCCCAGATACGTTTTCATCCAAATATTACACATTATGTAACATTTTTTATTTATCTCATGAAAAGTGAAATAAGAAGCAACTACAAGCTCATTAACCATTACCCTGCTTGTTCAATGAAGTGGTTTATTATATATTTTTCAAATATCAGAATTCTGGCCCTTCATCATCTTTCTCCTTTCATCCATTCAAAGAAAAAGAAAAAAAATCAAGAAAACAGACCTTCAATAAATGACAAATTTTATTTCAATCGTTGTGAAAATGTTTTTGTAAAGTCTTTCAAGTTGAGAACTTGTCCATAACCAACAGAAACATCAACATTGATAAATTCCTGGATATTGTCATCAGTTTCTGAAGATAGATTAAAAGAAAAAACAGGCATAAGAATGGCAGGTTACAGAAAAATAAATAATCAGCAACTGCCTACGAGAAAGTACACATTTTTATTACTACTTGAAGTGGGTGGAGGTTGTTATTTGTAACATCCCCTGACTGGCCCAGAAAGGAAGAAACCTATTTTGACAGGTGATTAATTATAGGTCTATATCTCTGTCTTCCAGACAGATAAATATTTGGGGTGGAAGCTTTTAGTGAGTAAAGTTTAGGGTAAAATATTATGAGACATCTGGTTTTTCTCAACCTGACAAACAGAGGTTTCTTTAGCTAGGAAAAAGCAAAATTTATATGGCATTTTTAAAAAAGCTAAAAAAGAACAACCGGTTTCGTCCCAGGATTTATCAAGTTTATTTTCTGGGATATAAAAAATTTATAAGCGTGTAAATTTAATTAATATAACGAAGGGAAGGGAAGAAAAAAAAAAGAATTTCAAGAAAGCTAGAGTCCAATAACATTCAGACCCAGTAAGAATTCCCTTCTGTTTACAACGGGAAGGCCCACGGGATCTGATATAGAAGGACTCTAGAACCTTCAGATGATATGTGGAGTGGGACCCAGATAAAATCGTGAAACGGTCTGCACTAAAATCAAAAACACAATTCCTGCTATTTATTACATGCTCTGCAGTAGAAGAGCCAGAAGTATTGGTTAGTTGGCTTTTCCTGGCATCCGGGTTCAAAATCCGGGGGGGGGGAGTAATGTTTTATTCTCAAATCCAAATGTTGAGACGTCCTCCCTATGTAGTTGAGTCCACAACTACACTTATATTTATAAATCACTGAATTAACATGATGGAGTTGGGGAAGGACATCCTTACGAATGGAAGAGAAAATAGGATGGGTAACAAATATTACCCGAGCATTAGCAGTTTCTTTATTGTGAAAATTAATCAGCCTTTTTGTATTCATTAATCCACTAAGGGAATGCATTTTAAGACACAATTTTTGATACGAGACGAGCATTAAATTTGATTATTTTATTAGTGCTTCTCAAACTTTTTTTTTTTTATACTTCTGGACACACTTGTAGAATAACAAACTCTGGGGTTCACTTTCAATTTTAATAAAGAAAAATTAGTCATGAAATTTAAAAACATGAAATTTTGGTTTAGATTAGTGGTACAGTTTTCATTTAAGGAATCTCTTAATTTTGTTTTTAGAGAGGCCGATGATGACTGATCTAAACCCCTTGGGGATGGCAAAAGGAAAGGATTATCAACGCCTTCTTAAAAATTAAATAAATTAGCATCCAGTTTAAAATATCAAATGACAAAGACTTGACTTGGGCCAAAAGGGAATAATGGCCACAACAACAAAGATGACGACAATAGTCTGAATATAAATAGTGTAAATAATGTATTTAGAGATTCTTAATAAAATCCAAAAAAGAATCTGCAATGTTATTGGTCCTGACGTAGTATCTTGACTGGCAACAAGGACTCATCATTACAGTTGAAATGGACAAATGTAACAAGAACAGTCTATCACTGTAAATTGAATAAAGGGGTTAAGTTCAGAATTGTCTGTAATTTACCTGGATGAGGACAATAGTCCATCTGTAAATAGTGTAAACAATGATAATTCCTCATCCAGTAAATTCAGATAGAAATGACCAGTTTCTTTTATTGTAACCTTATTGATTCATCAAGACAGACATTTCAACTAGACTTCTTCAGATTTAAAACTCAGAATGTGGGTGGGGAAACCTGATGAATGATTGCATGGTGTGGCTTGTCAGGAAAACAATAAATTAAATATTGATAAAAATTAAATCACAAGGATATACAACATGAAGTACTGAAAAGTTTTTAGCCCAGACAACAAGATGAAATCTGACCAAATGAATAAGTATTTTTTTTTTTTTTTTTAGATGACTTTGATCAGGCTGAGAAATTTTCAGTGCCCAATTATACAGTTAAATATGATTTCTCTGATAGAAAGTACTTTTTATACTACTTTTTAAAAGAAATAACTCCAGGAAAAATATAATTTCAGAAATTCAGATAAAAATAAAGCCAAAATATATGAAGACGAAAACATATAAAGGCCAAAACATATGAAGACCAAAACTTATGAAGGCCCAAACTTGTAAAGGCCAACAAATAAAAAACTTCTAAAAGGCCAATAAATATGAAGGTCAAACTATTTAAAGGCCAAAATTGTAAAGCATATGAAGGCCCAAACTTTGTCAAAGGCCAAAAGCATATGAAGGCCCAAACTTTAGGTCATTTCATAAAGGCCAAAACATATAAAGGCCAAAAGGCCCAAACTTGTGGATGAAAAAGGCCAAAGCATATGCAAAACTTGAAGAGGCTAAAAGCTGAAGGACCAAAATTGAAAATAAGAAAAGGCCCAAAGCATATGAAGACCAAAACTTGTAAAGGCCAAAGCATATGAAGACCAAAACTTGACAAAAAGGCCAAAGCATATGAAGACCAAAACTTGTAAAGGCCAAAGCATATGAAGACCAAAACTTGTAAAGGCCAAAGCATATGAAGACCAAAACTTGTAAAGGCCAAAGCATATGAAGACCAAAACTTGTAAAGGCCAAAGCATATGAAGACCAAAACTTGTAAAGGCCTAAACTTATAAAGGCCCAAAGCATATGAAGACCAAAACATGAAGACTAAAACATATGAAGGCCAAAGCATACGAAGACCAAAACTTATAAAGGCCCAAAACATATGGAGACCAAAACATATGAAGACTAAAACTTATATGAAGACTAAAGCTTATAAAGGCCAAAACATATAAAATGCTAGCAAAAAAAAAAAGTATGAAGCAGATAGTCATCTGAAAAATGTTGAAAATAACTTGTGCCAAATTCAGAAGTAGAGGGTCCTAAAATCCATTGGTTGAAAGGTTGCAACCAAAACTAAGATAGTGATACTTGTCTAAATAATCTGTGGAAAAAATTATAGAAGCTTCAATAGAAGCTATACTATGGGGTTTACATAGAGAACGAAATTTGACAAAGGTGACACATTGGTGTCTGCATAGAGAACGAAATTTGACAAAGGTGACACATTGGTGTCTGCATAGAGAACGAAATTTGACAAAGGTGACACATTGGTGTCTGCATAGAAGAAATTTGACAAAGGTGACACATTGGTGTCTGATAGAGAAAAAATTTGACAAAGGTGACACATTGGTGTCTGCATAGAGAACGAAATTTGACAAAGGTGACACATTGGTGTCTCTGCAGAGAACGAAAATTTGACAAAGGTGACACATTGGTGTCTGCATAGAGAACGAAATTTGACAAAGGTGACACATTGGTGTCTGCATAGAGAACGAAATTTGACAAAGGTGACACATTGGTGTCTGCATAGAGAACGAAATTTGACAAAGGTGACACATTGGTGTCTGCATAGAGAACGAAATTTCACAAAGGTGACACATTGGTGTCTGCATAGAGAACGAAATTTCACAAAGGTGACACATTGGTGTCTGCATAGAGAAAACATTTTGACAAAGGTGACATATATGGGTTTTGTTTTTTTACAGTTCAGAAACGCTTTGTGGGTTATTTAAATCTGCAACATAATCATGATTTTATGAATAACTTTTTGTGAGTGAATATTACATTAACAATTTTTTCCAGTCCTACTATTTATCCCTTAGCTGGGGGCAGAGACAGATTCATACCATTCCCAACTCTATTTGCATGTAAGTGAATGTAAGGAAATTGACTAGAATTTGAACTTGGTTATCAGTTTCCACATTCCAAGCCACTATCCATTACACAACCCACACATCCTAACACATTGGGGTCTGCATAGAGAACACAATCTGACAAAGGTGATACATTGGAATAGACACGGAAAAAAATTTACCTTCTGTCCTGATGCAAGGGTATGGTGGTGGCTTGCTTTTCCACATCCCGCTTTCATCCAGCATGTGTTTACGATTCGACGCAAAATACCTCAAATAGGTTGCGGCTTCCACTACCCGGAAATATCTGGAAGAAAAAAAAGAAAGAAGTGGGTGGCACAATATTAACGTTTTGCATATGACTGGTTATGATGAAGTCTTTAGAATTATTCTTTTGTCTGAATTTCTGGAATGAGGCTGGAAGGAACAACAGCCAAAACAATGTGATAACAACAACAAGGATAAGGACAATAGTCAGAACATAAATAAAAGCAACACAAGTGATTGAAATTTTCTTATATTACTAACACTGCTCTCAAGTAAACATAAAAATCTGCTTTGTGGAACTGATTCCCATGTTTCTGTCAGAATTTCTAGAATGATAAAGGTCGGAGGGTACAACAGTCGATACAATGTGATAACGAGTGGTGGTGGTGGGGGGGTGATGAACGCAGGGTAGGAGATCAGAATGCATCCCAAAAGACAAAGGTTGATTCCATGACCTGGAAAGCATCCACTGTCATTGATCTCTCAAAATTTCAGAGTTTGGCAGCCAGCAAATAAATGGATAGCAACTGTTTTGGAATGTTTTCTGCCTCTTGATTTTATATATCAAAGTTAATGCAGTTAAATATTGTGAAATGTTGGACAAACTAAAAGCAGAACATTTGTGTAAGGCTCTCAATCTTGTTGAATGACAATGCCACCCAACACATCTAAGTCTACCAGATAAAAGAATATAGTTTACCAAATCTACCACATAGTCTGAAGGTGCCAAATCAAAACTACCATGGCTAGGAAGCAGTTGCACACAGATGATACTGTTGTAGCAGACATGCAAGGATGGATCCACTTGATGCCACTTGTTTCAAGGAGAGTATTAAGGACATTGAAGGCCAGAGATGCAGAGGAAAACAAGGAGTCACCAACTTAAGGAGTTTGTGTAAATAGATGGCAAACAGTAAAAGACAAACATTGCTAATAGCTACAAAGGATAGGAAGTTGTGGAGAGCCACGATCGCCAACGTTCTGAAGAAACAAGACACAAAAAGAAGAAATATGTTAGAAGAGTAAATGTTTGTATGCGTTTTGGACATGTTTTGTATCTCTAACATTCTGAACAAAGTGGAATGAATTTTCTTGTGAGGGAGAAGAAACAATTTGGAGATGAGGAGGAGGAGATTTTAAAAGCAAAAAGCCAAAACTCACCTGTAATATTCTGGCTGAAACAAACTGTCTTGTTTGATGGCTTCTTTCAGGTAGATTTCAAATTTACAAGAAAATGGCAAACAACTGTCAAGATCATATACATAAGTGTTCAGTCCATTCTTCCACAAGAAGATTACGTGATAGTCCTGTGAGAATAAAAACAGGTTATACAAAGGACACATTCCATAGTGGATTTTAAACAATTTAGGAAGAGAATACAAAATCCTTAAGATATTTGAATAATTGATAAAGAAAGAAAGAAATCCTATTCTTTCCACTTTGATATTGTTTCTTCGACATTATGAAAAGGGCGTTTACAGATCCCATGGTGGATCTATTTTAAAAGTAAAATTCATGAAGTTGAGGTACCAAAGAGGAAAGCTTATCAGAAAAATTGACATGAAAATATTTATAAAAAAGGCAGAGGGAAACTCCATTACAGCAGTAGGAAAAAGTTTTGTTCAATTTTGCAAACCAATCGATGAAATTTGAATAAGCTGATTTGTTTGGAAAAATACTTTGACAAAAATAGTTTTATGGTTTTTAACAATGAAGAATAAATTCTTAGGATTTCTTACTCTTGAGCATGCAACATGCAACTGACCATGTGTACATATTTCTTTCTGGAGCCAAATTTCAACTTTTTAAAGCATTTGGCCTTGTGATTTGTTTATAGTTCTCACAAACACAGGAGAACTGGAAACTGGATTCTTGTAGATATATAAACTTAAAGATATCCAAAAAACAATATTGCATTTTTATTAAATACAGTATATACTTGTGTATCGTGCCACTTTTAAAGACTTAATTTTGAAGCTAATTTGACTACAGTAAATGGGTATATAGTTTGGTCAAGGCACATCCAGGGCCAACAGTACATACACTAATTTTATATCTCGTGTATGATGTGACCCCCTTAAAATTAGCTTCAAAATTAGCTCTTCAAAAGCCACATGATATGCAAGTATGTACTGTATATATAACAAACCAACGTAAAAGAATATTTTTTTGAAGTTACTTAAATCCTGTTTAGATTATAGAAATGGATAGCATATACAGTGGCCAAGAAATGAGGGATGAGTTTAATACTAAAGAACAATACAAAACTGATCTCCCACTTTTTACCATTCCTCCTTTTGATTATAAGAATTTTTTTAGTTACTGTATATACTTGCATATCATGTAACCTTTGAAGGCCTAATTTTGAAGCTAATCTTACTACAGTAAATGGATATATAGTTTGGTCAATGGCGTAACCAAGGCCAGCAGTACATGTGCTAAGTTTATATCTCGTGTGCAATGTGACCCCCCACTTAAAATTACCTATATTAGTATATGCATTACGTATGTTATTTTAATCATTGTTTTTAAAATGGGAGTATTTTGTATGTTAAATAATAAAATTTTTAATTTTCCCTCAAAAATTAATGAAAATTTATTGTACTAAGCTACTCACCCTAGTAAAACCAACTGTACTTTGTATGCTCTTAACTGTTTGCACTTCTCCCCTAAATTTGGTTTTGATTGGTCAATGTATGGCTGTTTTAGAGGGTGTGATTGATGGACAGACTAACAGAAGCCACAGAATTTTATATATAGATAGATTAGCCATGATAGAGAGATCTAAATTTTTCATTTGGAGATCATTTGGGAAACAAAATTCATATCCTCACCCAAACAACAGGATCTTCAGATTTCTGTATTTTCTGCTGCCAAATAGGAACCTAGAAGAGAAAAGTGAAAATAAAAGTCAACCCACCACATACATACATCATATATATATATATATATATATATATATATATATATATATAACATTACTAATAACAATGAGAATAAACTGGATAAAAACAAACATATAAAAACTACCTACTAACTCCTTAACATCTACAATCTAAAACAATATGAAAATAATTACAACCACATCCCAAACTACTATGGATCTGAGCAGAATCAAAAAATACCCATCACATAATGATTTCGAAGCAGGTATATATACAATAAACTGTCACAGCTGCTCTTAACAGTACATTGGGTAAACTTGCAGAAGTTTAAAAAAACATATCTATGAATACCATAATGATGTTGTACACAATAATTTATCAAATGCATTCTACATCAAAATAAATTCAACCACAATTTTGATCTAAAGAATGCTACACTTATTAAAAGAGAAAGTAACTTAGAAAATTCTCGAGAGTGCCACTATTGAATCTTATCAAAATATAAATCTACATCTGTCTATATTTCTGAGATGAGGTATTATGTACATTATTTACATTATTCGGATTATTGTCCTCATCTTTGTCGCCATATTTATTACAAAATTTTGGCCGTTGTATGCTCCTCGAAGACACATGGCACAGTGGATAAAGGTGTTGGTTAGATCCAGTGACAGGACCCAAGGAGTGTGAGTTCAATACCTGGTTAAGGCAGTGTAGAACTTTCAGAGTGAAAATTAACAGGAGATAACTGATAACTGACTGTTATACCGGAACATTATCTATTCTATTGTAATAGACTCTCCCACACATAATAAGCAGTAGTAGTAGTAGTAGCAGTCGCTAGTTGGGCTCAGTGGAGTTGTGTGAGTCAGTCAGTTTTGCACGTCGAACCTAATTTAGGACCGACTTAGTGAAATACAAGCCTCCACTGTGAAAACTACTCTACAACACAGACATCCATTAAACATGGCACGTGGAACTTGAACAGTCTACTCCAGTGAGCGAAATAAAGGGTTCAGTTCGACATTCCAGCCACCTGAAGAAGGCCGGAGCGTACAATGGCTGAAACGTTGTAATAAATATGGCGCCAAAGATGAGGACAATAGTCTGAATAATGTAAATAATGTATAAATCTACACCCCAAATTTTTTTCAACAATCTCCACTCCTGAAAGAATTACTACTATCCCAAGCCAACATACATGTGTGCTGCATCTGTCAGTCTCAAGAAGCCTCTGATCTGCACCCAAAGAGTTATGCCTCATCTGCTGATGGCAGTGCAGCATCTCTTATGGCTGTACAGGCCCACACAAGGGTGACGGTCTTGATTGCAATGAATACATGTGAAGACACCCTCCCCCAATATCACCTTATTGTTTTTTTTTTCCATCAAGCACACTTCTCTTTGTTTCTCCTCTCCTTGCGCCAACCCTTGGTGTAAATCACATCTCCAGCATTAGTGATTGTTGGTGACTATATAACTTTAAAAATGTTAAAAAATTCAAAGATGATTACATTCATAACCTCATGTAATTTTTAGTGGATATTCATATTTGAATAGATGTTATGTTTATTTATTAAACAGTATATTTGTTTTTATTTACCAGACCGAATATTCAAGAAATCTTATAGGAAAATATGCACTCTATGGCTGGATTCAAACCTGCATCCTCCTGGGCAGAGGGAAATGTCATTAGATCTGACATGTTCTATGCCGACTGAGCTACAAAGAACAGTGCCTTAAGCAAAATTCCTCTCATCATAGTCTCCTGAAATTTTTCGTATCTGCTCAGTTTTACTTGAAGAAATTTCACAATTCATTTTGTAAATTCTCGCCTCCGATTTCTTAATGTTATTCCATTTGGTGCTGACCAATATCTCTTATTCTTCTAGATGTCATTTTGATGAATTTTAGATCAAGGTTGGTTGTTATTAAATGGAAATTATTAGAGTCTCAATCAATTTCCCAAATTATTCATAGCGCATTTTAGGAGTTTTCTTTTTGTAAATAGTCGAAGTCATTTTAATCACTCTAAACATTTTGTTAAGTGTAGTTAAAGAATAAAAAGGAGAGTTATAAAAAGAGAAAAACCAAACAAATAAGATATAATAGAGAAGTTAAAAGTGGGGGGGAGAGAAAGAAAAGTAAATTGTAAGACAAGCCAATAAATCGTTTTTATTTTATTTATATATATTGGTTTGTTTTCTTCCAAAAAAAATACCCTGTCTTAGCTGCATGTAGGAAGATCAGTACAACCAAGCATACCCAATCTATAACATCAAATAGCCCAAGTGAAGTCTTGATTAATTGCCGTTTGCTGAGGGAACTTACATAATGCACATCCTAAAACTAGTAGTGAATTTTATTCTGGGTGCAGGCTGAATACTGATCATATTCGGTTGGGTTGCCCATCAAAGAAGTCTGTTGTTTATTTACACCCAAAACTTCTACTGACATGGGAGCAACAACACTGATGACACACCTAGATTCGGCACTTAAAGATGTATTTTTAATAATTATGGAGTTGGTGGGTAGAATGATATGCCTGATTTTCTCAGACTTGTTGGAATTATTATTATCTGTGTTTTTTTTTTATTTTGCTTCTGTAGATTTTGTAGGCTTTGCATTTAGCATTATACAAGAAATAATTCAGGTGTTAAAGTTTGAAAATATTTTCAATATATTTTCCTTCCTTGAGCAACAATTGGGACGACAGTGAACAAGAGCCCTTAAAAAAATATATATATATATATATATATATATATATATATATATATATATATATATATATATATGTATGCATATTATAAAGAAATATACTACTCCAATTGACCTGAATAAAAAAAAAATTAATTATTATTAAAAAAATTTAAGACAGCTAACCTTATCCTAAAAAAATAACAACACACCAGCTAAGTCAAAATTACAAAAAAGAACGAACATTATCTATGAGTTCAAATGCCCCTTAAGGAACTGTGTTCCTGATCAAACTGGACTCATAAATAATTACATCAGTTACACAACTACATGCTTATCCAGACATCTTACGTTACACCTATCTGATCACAGCTCCATTAGAACCCATTTAAACACACACACAAATTTACCCGATTCCATTAGAAACATACTAGTAGAAAACACAAATATATTAACTGCATCCACCTGCAAAAAAAGACTAAAAATAATGGAAGCTTTAATAATAAAAAAGAAAAAGTCAACTCTTAACAATATTAACTACGAACAAAGCCACAATGTGCTAACCATATTCAGGAATTAAAAACATCCCTACCACAAACTAAGACATACACATAACGCACACACTCAATTAAGCTGAAAAATCAAATCATCCTTGATAATGGCTAAAGGTATAGCTGAAAGCATTTGGAACTATAAAACATTTGGACAGTTCTTAGACACTCTTTTGTTCAGAAAAGAAAGCTCTTGTTTGAAAACAAGAAAAATTAAATTAAACGCTTAACTGTAGTACCTTGTCTGTTGTTTTTAATGAAACATGCATAAAGGAAGGTTTGCTGCCTAAATATACAACTATATATATATATATATGTATGTATATGTGTGTGTGTGTGTGCACCCGCACACAAGATATATAAGAGATAATCATAAAATAAGTCTTTCATGAATATCTATTATTATTTTACTTTTTACAACATGCAGATTGTGTGTGACAGCAAATATTAACATCCATATGTGTACTGATTACTCTTTTCTGTTTTTGCTCATAATTAATATTTCTGTTCCTCGATCTTCCACACCCAGTAATCCCTTGCGTCTTTGTGGCTTTACTGCCTTGCACGGGGTGAAATGGATTAAAAAATATTAGGGTACCAATTCTTTAGCGCCATCATCAAGGTGCTTCTGTTGTTAATTATTGTTAAATTTTCAGGTTTGTCTGTTTAAGATGTAGTTTTTGCAATATCTAAATAATAGTAGCATTCTGAGCCTTGCAAATTGAGCATAGCTGGAATATAAGTTGGTGTCTTTCTATTTAACAAAACCTTCAACACACCATTTCCATATTGAATGAGGTGAGATTTATATTGGGTGCCAGATGTTTTATATAAACAGGCCTCTCTCATAGCTAAATGTTTTTCGTTATGGGACCTATGTAGGCTATCAATGCTATCAGCTAGAATCTTCTATATTGATTGTTGTAAATTGTGGGTGGCTAAGTGCCTTTTTATAGCACTTTGGTTACATAAGTGACACGTGAGGCATCTGCTCAAGAAGTTGGTGGTATGACCAATATATAGCAAATTGATTTATGACTATATATATATATGAATGAATGAAATGCATTGATTACTGATTGATTTTAGCTTATCAACCCTTTGGAGGTTATTTAAAGCCAGAAAATATTTTAAGATTATATGAATTTTTTTGAGATAATAATGGTTTAGTGATACCAGTCTTACTAATTAATCCATAGCTGGGGGGAGAAGTGTATTTGTACACTTTCCCAAGCACATAAGCGAATATAGTAAACCCAACTAGAAATGGAACTCAGCTCTTGAATTAACAATTCTGATCCACTATTTATTACACCACCCACACATTCACGCTTACAGCACCTGGTATTGCCAATAAAATGCAGAACATATTTGTTACATGTAACTCTTTTCACAGAGCACACAGATACCACATTGATTCTAGGCTGGTCCAAAATTAACCATTACTCTTGAATATGAGGAGGGGAGCTTGATAATTTGGGTGGATGGAATTTTTGCCAATATGCAATAAATGGAGGTCTTAATAAAAGGGAGTTTGATCAGAAAATCATATAATGGGGTCAAGATTCTGAATTCAGAGTTTTTTTGTTGTTTTTTAAATAGCAAGTTTAACAAAAGACTGAACTGTAATTCTGGTATATAGATGTTTATAATTATGCTATAACTGCATATTTTATGTTGGTTCCAACCCCACAATTGGAATTAATTGCAAAACACTTTCCACTCCCCCAGTTTATAGGCAGAGCCACACAA